TGAGCCCTCAAGTGCAGATTTCGTGGCAGGGGCAGCGCTTTGTGAACTCTCCAGTGCAGATTTCGTGGCAGGTGCAGCACTTTGTGAGCCCTCAAGTGCAGATTTCGGAGAAGTTCCAAGACAGGATCGCGAATCATGAACCACGAGTCACGAAACGAATCACGAATCACGCTGCTGGAGGACGACTTCCGGATCAAAAATCAATTTTTTATTGATTTTTTAAACTCAAATTGCCTTTGAAAAGGCTTTTCAAAAGGGAAAATCAGTTGGGAAAATCAACGTTTAATTAAAATTGCCTTTGAAAGGGCATTTCAAAAGGGAAAATCAATTGGGAAAATCAATTTTTAGTTAAAATTGCCTTTGAAAGGGCTTTTCAAAAGGGAAAACCAATTGGGAAAATCAATTGGAAAAACATTTTCTATTAAACGTTGCCCTTGAAAAGGCTTTTTAAAAGGGAAATCAATTTCGGAAGTTAGTTTTTGAATTCGAATTGCCTTTGCAAAGCTTTTAAAAGGGAAAATCAAATGGTATTTTTCCCCAAACAGGTTTACCAGTGAGGGGTTCTTACTCCTTTTAAAGGGGTGCATGCTCGGGCCGGATGATTTTGAGTTTGTCTCCGGGCTTGTGTTCTTGGCCGCATGATTTCACCCTTGTCTCCCACTTGTCTCCCAGTAAGCTCTGGATGCTCTCAGTGCTCTGGCCGCATGATTTTATACTTGTCTCCCATTTGTCTCCCACTTGTCTCCCAGTTGTCTCCCAGTAAGCTCTCGATGCTCTCAGTGCTCTGGCCGCATGATTTCAGGCTTGTCTTTTACTTGTCTCCCACTTGTCTCCCAGTAAGCTCTGGATGCTCTGAGTGCTTGGCCGCATGATTTCACACTTGTCTCCCATTTGTCTCCCACTTGTCTCCCAGTAAGCTCTGGATGCTCTGAGTGCTCTGGCCGCATGATTTCACACTTGTCTCCCACTTGTCTCCCAGTAAGCTCTGGATGCTCTGAGTGCTCTGGCCGCATGATTTTATGCTTGTGTCCCATTTGTTTCCCACTTGTCTCCCAGTAAGCTCTGGATGCCCTGAGTGCTCTGGCCGCATGATTTCACACTTGTCTCCCACTTGTCTCCCAGTAAGCTCTGGATGCTCTCAGTGCTCTGGCCGCATGATTTTATACTTGTGTCCCATTTGTCTCCCACTTGTCTCCCAGTAAGCTCTGAGTGCTCTGGCCGCATGATTTCACACTTGTCTCCCACTTGTCTCTCAGTAAGCTCTGGTTGCTCTGAGTGCTCTGGCCGCATGATTTTATACTTGTGTCCCATTTGTCTCCCAGTAAGCTCTGGATGCTCTGAGTGCGCTGGCCGCATGATTCTATACTTGTCTCCCACTTGTCTCCCAGTAAGCTCTGGATGCTCTCAGTGCTCTGGCCGCATGATTTCACGCTTGTCTCCCATTTGTCTCCCACTTGTCTCCCAGTAAGCTCTGGATGCTCTGTGCTCTGGCCGCATGATTTCATACTTATCTTCCATTTGTCTTTCATTTGTCTCCCACTTGTCTCCCAGTAAGCTCTGGATGCTCTGAGTGCTC